TTGGGCCCAGCGCTATCCCCAACCAGGAAGCGGAAAAGGCAGCGGAGGCAAAGCGCCAGGCAGAACTCGAGCTCCAGCGGCAGCAGGAGAGCTGAAAGAATCATAGATCAGAGTGTCACAATCTTATTTTTGAATAACATCCTTCGGCCTGATGCTGGTTGATCATGAGAATCATCCTTTGGTCCTTTGACTTCACAAACCTGAAAAAGAAGCACGGTGTTGAAGTTGCCAGAGGATATCGAGAAGCTGCTTTCGGAGACAAGATCGTCACTCGGAAGAAATCAAATCCCACTCGAAACAGAAGATGATATGAAGATAACAGGAATGGATTCGCATTTGCAGACGTGTGCACAACCCCCAAAGATGGCTGCATGACGCACGTGTGTTTGTCTACATTATTCTACATAACTCAGGGTCAACTCATGCACTTCTCATTTTGCTTGTTATGATCTTTTTTTAGTTACTAAATGTTACTGAAGATGCTTGACCATTCTGGTTCTGAAATTTTGGGTGGACTGTTTGATCAAAAGGCAACATGAGTAGCGGATTTGTAAGGATTCATTGCGGCGTTTTGTGGATCCTGGGCTAATGGCTGTGGGAACATGTGGCGCTTATCATCCTGTTCATTCCTGTTCATCACACGAGCCTGGCAGCCTGAAGATTATTGGGTCACTGAGAATTGTCTCACCTCAGTGGGACACTGCAACAAACGAAGCTTTCATCATTTGTAGGATTTACGCCCCAGCTGTTCGGGATATGATGGCCTGACACCCACGGTTCACGGCTTGAGGCAGTGCAGAGCAACGTTTTTGTGCATACTGTACATACCATACCCATAATTATGTTATATAATAGAATATAACATAATATAATATAATATATATATATATACATACGTGTGTGTGTGTGTGTCACACTCTGTCGCATCTTATTGATAGCAAAATATAATAAGATAGGATTGCATTTATTTTAATTCCCCAGACACATCTTGAAAGGAAAAAGCCGCAGAGACAGAAAGGAGGAAAATAAATGCCATCCAATATATATATATATATAAATAGACTAGCCATTCGCCCCACCAACAACAATACATTAAAGTTGGTGGTCAATGTCATATAAGTAAGAAATATAACGCAGTCACGTGCAACAGTGTTGAACACTTCAGTTGAGCTGATTTGCACCTTTCCGGTCCCTCACCATTTTCGACCTAAGAATTGAGTCAACTAAAAACCCATTGTCAAAGTGTGTGCCGCTGTGCTGTCCCACGTGGGTGCACAGTGTGATCCCCGTCACTGGGGCGCTGATTTCATGCCGGACTACCACTAACTGACTCTGCTGCTTTCTGCACTCGTTGGATTATCTTAACTGATTTTCGTTTCACCACTGTATTCTCAAAATCTAAGCCGCCGGGCGTCACGGAAATTCAAAGCCGCCGGGCATACGGAGAATAAACCCCGACGTGTTCTCTACCCCAAACACCCCAACCCCCCCCTCCCTTTAATTAGGGTAACAGAGGGAAATGGTACTCAACACACTTGTGTGTCGGTGCCTTTCCCTCTGTTGTCCCTTTTCTAGTCTACTCTACCCGGGCGGTGTAAGACAAAAGTCCCGCTCCAAAACTAGTGCACCGAATTCACTTCGTCTCAGTATTCAGTATTTCTAGAGTGCTAGGTATTCATACACACACACACACGGACACACACATGTACATACACCTCCCTGCCCCCCACTTTCCTTCTTGCGCTTTTCGTCGCTTCTTGGGCTTTCTCTCAGGCTTTTAGGTTGTTCTTCAGGCTCGTTTCCCTACCCCAGCCAAGGGCTAAGTATTCACTTTTTGCTACTCCTATCTTTCTCTCTTGCCCTTTTGGCTGCTCTTTCTGTTTTTCTTTCTCTTGCTTCTAAGGCTTTTTAGGTGCCTATTTAGGTCCTCCGCGACAGCGCCGCAAAGCGGCCGAGTGTGTGTGTGTGTGTCGACCCCTGTTCCTAAGGGTTTTGGTTTCTTGCATACGGCTAAGTAACCACTTGTCCACGTCTTGCAGCTAAGTATTCACAGGCCGGGCATTTACATGCATAGGCACACACACAACCCCCCTACCCCTGGGCCTTGTTGCTACCCCACCCGCTTTTCGGGCAACAGAAGGAAATCGCACTCAACACACTTGTGTGTTGGTGCCTTTCCTTCTGTTTCTCCTAGCTATTGCTAGCTACCCGGGCGGTTTAAGACAAAATGTCCCGCTCGCACTCTACTTTCATTTACTGTAACTAAGTGGGCCTCGTAACTACACCTATCTTTCCTTCTTGCCCTCTTAGTCTGCTTTTGTTTTGTTTGCTTTTTCTGTCTTTCTAAGGCTTTTTAGGTCGCTAGTAGTCTTCACAAAACGCGCCAATATTGGCGCTATATGTACAAAGTTTTGCGACCGGTGGACACCAACGACGCTACTAGGGGCTTCTGGCCTCGCTATCAGGAGCCAGGACCTCCGACCTTTCTACAGGGTGTAAGGACGCTACTAGGGCCCCTGGCTTTGCTACTAAGGCCTCCTGGTATCGCTACTAACTTACAGTCTCTCAACGCAGAAAAAGAGGCAGGGGGCCACAGCTCCTTTCATCAGTCTGTGGCCAACGAAGCTACTGATGATTGGAGAGGATATGAACCTGGGACGCCAGGTTCACGTACCTGCTTTTCCTTTTCAACTGTTGACAAGCTGTCTACTCTCGTTTTTTGGTTCCATGGTCCTTCACGATACTTTTCCCTAAACCTTTTCTTCCCCAGCAAAGGCGCAGCGTGAGCCGCTTGGTCATCGCAGTCAAGGGAAACAGCCTTTGTTAAAACACCTACAAGTGCTTCCGACTTTTCGCCATACTGTTCCACCGCCTTCCTTCCCATCGTGGCAATTGAGTCTAACTGAAAACCCAAGTTCGAAGTGTGTGTGTCACACTCTGTTCCTAAGAGTTTTCCACAAGCAGGGGGATCAGGCTTCCAGTGGCTAACCTGATCCAACGAAGCTGGGTCACTGGAAGGGAAGTGGTTGAGGACGCTCAACCATGTACCTGCATCGTGATACAACTCCAATTTTCGCCGCTGTTCTTTGCTTTCATGGTCGTTCCACATGATACCTCCCAAAACAGGTTTCCTTTTACCTATGTAACTGAGCCGCCGCCGCTTTCCGCAGTCAGGTGCAACTGTGTTGAACATTTCAGTTGAGCTGATTTTGCACCTTTCCGTTCCCTCACCATTTTCGACCTGGGAATTGAGTTAACTGAAAACCCATTGTCAAAGTGTGTGTCACCTCCTGTTCCTCAGGAGCTTTTGTCACACCAAACCACCACTTAGCCCACCACTTTAATCGTTTGTGCAGCAATGCAGGGGGCTCACGGGTTTGTTCAAGTTCCTGGCGTGAGCCATCGAAGCTCCAGGTTCAGACTAGGATATTGAGAGAGGACGCTCTCTCATCGTACCTGCAACTCTCTTTTCACAGCGGTGTTTTCAGGCTGACTTCATCGCCTTTCCGTTGCGGGCAGGGCCATTTTAGGCTTCAGGCTTCAGCGCTTTAACCGGGTATTGCAGTAACTATTGTTGTAACGTGGTAACCTCACTGGAGCTTCCAAACTGATAGGGCTCTTGCGAGCATGGACCTAGATGTTTCGCAACAGGGCCCCCCTCTGTCTGTTGTGTGATTTCTTCGGGGCGCGTTGAGCACAGACGCTCAAGGGGGATCTCACTGGTTCATCGGCCTTGCACAATTACTCCTGACTTTTCGTTTCTGCTCGAGATTGCTGCTAACAAGCTGCCGAGCTTACTGATAAAAAAACCTTTTTCACAGAATGACATGTCATGCGGCTAGTGCATTCACTGTTCCAAGTTTTTATGAAACTGAGTAATGCACGGTCTTGCTTTCTCTCCTTCCTGGGTTTTCTCTTTCGAGGTCTTTCGTTCGTTGCTAGAGGTTTGTTAGGCTTCATGTCTTTTTTAGTCGAGGGTGCGCCGGATTCGGCTTCATGCCTGCAAGGGCTTCAGCCCCTCCCCCCCCCCCCCCCCCCGCCCCCCCCCCCCCCCCCTCTCTCCCTGTTTTCTTTCGTTTGTTGGGTCTTATTTCAAGCTTGTATGTAGGTTGCTTTTCATGCTCGCTTAGTCGATCCCCCCCCCCCCCCCCCACGAGCGAAAAAAGTGTTGTGCGAATCCACTTGGGTGCGCCGGTCACGGCGGCTTTTGTGCTTCGCCTCCTGTTCCTAATGAGCTGTGTCACACCAAGCCACCACTTATCCCACCCGCGAATATTGAGTTCTTACAGCAATGCAGGGCGCTCACGGGCCTGTTCCTGGCATGAGCCATCGAAGCTCCAGGTTCAGACTAGGATATCGAGAGGGGACGCTCTCTCGACGTACCTGTTTTTTTCACAGCGGTGCTTTAAACAATACTGTTCAGGCTGACTTCATCGTTTTTCCGTTGCGAGCAGGGCCATTTTAGGCTTCAGGTTTCAGTGCTCCAATCGGGTATTGCGGTCACTAGTCGTAAAGGCTAACCTCACTGTGGAGTTTCCAAACTGATAGGGCCGCATGGATCTAAGTGTGTGTGATGTGTGTGTGTGTACCTTATCAGCCCCATCCAATCCAAAATAAATATCTTTACTGATCTAATTTTTCATCTATCCCACCATCGCTGAGGCCCGTGCCTGCGGAGCCTGCCCCGGTCGCCAACGCCCCTCCGTACACAACGCCCCTGGAAAAGGCCCAAGCGCTGCTTCAGAAAGGGGAGTCGCTAGAAGCACAATCGCCGGTGCCAGCCTACTACCTGCAGGTCGCGGCCTTGGAACTCTTGAATCCTGGCGAAAGGAGTTCCCGAACAGGAAGAAACCACCTTTAGAGACCCTTCAAGTGGCCACGACGATCAAGGCAAACATGTCCCAAAACCAGCCAACGAATCCACTGTTAGTTAGGGGAACCAGCCTGGAAGATTCCGTTGCAAAGACCTCCGGAAATTAAGGGCCGTTTTTTGTCTCAGGATGAAAGCCCGGCAAGCTGGTCAGTCCTCTCCTGAAGCGGATCAACTCATGCTGGCGACATTGCAGACAGCTGAGAACAAGAAGAGCCAGCTGAATTTAACCAATGGCCCTCAGAAGACACAGGACTTGATCCTCTCAGACTACGAGCGGGCGGTCGCTTCAGACTCCTTGAGAGATCTGCGAGACGTGAGCGTGTACCTGGAGAGCTTGTCACAGTTCTACAGTGCAATCCCCGAGGTTCCCCAGGAGTTGAGGGAACGGACGTCATATGCCCTCCGCCGCGCGGACTATTTGCGAGCCTGTGGCTTGGCATTTGCTTAGAGCTTTAGATAGTTTTAGATTGAAGGTAGCCCTTCAACAAGAATTTGACCAGGGTTTTGAGTCCAAAGACTTTCCGCATCATGTGTTTCAGTTTCACTTCATCATTCGCGCTGCAGGTTCACAGCAGGGCGTGCATCCAGAGGCCCCCACCCCACCGCGCCTGCAACAGCCTGCATTGCCTCCCCCCCCAATCCGCACCAGCACCTGTAGCAGCTCCTGCGCCCGCCCCTCCAGCACCGGCAGCTCCACCACCTGCTGCAGCGGCAGCTCCACCACCTGCAGCACCGGCAGCTAAACCACCTGCTGCACCGGCAGCCCGAGCAGTTGTGTCTCCAGAGGTTCTTGCAATGCCACGGGGGAAGCGACAGAGCGAGGCGAGGAAGAAGATTGACGAGGCCGCTATTTGAGGGCTCACTGTTCACTGGATTTCACTGGAGTCCACGACTTTGGCATGTTTTGACTCACTGCTAAACATCCAGTCCAGTCCAGCCGTTTATTTTGACCAGGGTGGACTATGTGCGGATTTGTCGTTTTTTTTATGTACACTCTTTCCGCTGCACTCTTCAGTAGCTGGATGAAAGACCATCGTTTTCTTTTCAGATCACTGGATCAAGATTCTCAGTTCCGCACCTGGCTGAGACGTGCAAGATGCAGCCATGACCACTGATGGACCCGACATGAGCCCCACGACTGATCATAAGCATCGATCGATTTCTAGAGCACGACGACGATGCAATCTCCCCGGCATGGGGTGGGCTGGTGCACAATCTCCATTGATCTCCCGAGTTGAAATCTCAAATTAAATGTACTAAATAGACTGGAGATGTCCAGCACAGGGTTCTTGATTCTTGAGGAACCCCGCAGGTTTCCCCCGAAAGCGTCCAGTTCTCATATGTTTTCTCCTTCCACGTGTTCGGATCGCAGGCGACCAGATCGCTGAAGACCGGCAACGAAGAGCAGGGGAAGGCCCTAATTCAGGAGGCGCTTGGCCTTCTGGAAGGCTTGTGATGGCCATTTGGTCAAAGTTTAGGCTAGTGGCCCAAACCAGCCTGGGGAAAGCACCTGCGGCAGTTCGCAAGGACAATTGTCAGTTCGTGTAGCTTAGACCGGACATGGGAAATGCATGTTTGCAGGGCGGCAGCCTTTCTCCAAAAAGACCTGTTGAAGAGAATCTCAGTGTGGTGGAGGTGCAACCATGAAACAAGCATCAAGTTTGATAGCTGGAAAGATATGGAAAGATGAAGTTCATCAGCCGCCAGTAAGTTTGCATGGGTCTTGTGGCATGTGTAGGAGTTTAAGACGACTTTTGTTTTCCAATGCCTTGCATTGCATCTCTTACCTGTCCCACTTACAGCGGAGACGGCGGCCGAATGGCCTTCGTGTGCCGTGTCATCTATCTTTTTGCACAGCACAGTGGATGACCAAAAGATCGTGAGTTCTTGGTTTTTGTCATGGCTTGTGGTTTTGGCGTTTCAAGTTTCGTCTCAAAATATTCCCTGAGAATTCTGGAGAAAACGAGAAACGCATTGATGCCACACACGCTCACACACTCTTATACACTCACACGTGCACACAAATTTACACTTACAAACAGTTGAACCCCAACAAATGGTGCGGCAGTGTCCGCTAGTCCTACTTTCAGGGGGCTTTGCATCTCAACAAGGCACTTGTGTAGCGCTGCAAGCTGGTGGGCAGGCACTACTTCTGATGGCAGTTTGTGGCATACGTATAATCAATCATATGCATATATATATACTTCAAGAACCCTAAAGTTTACGCTTCTTACTCTGTTCCAACATGACACTTGCGGTCTACAGCGGATCGGATTGTCACGTCCATTTTGCCTGGCAGGTACAGCACGGTCAGATTTCCACACCCGTTTGTATTTATAATACGTACAAGGCTTTCAGGTGTGGAAATCTGACCTCAACTTAGGTGTCGACATGTTGCACGTAGGATTCTAAGGGGAAAGGGTTTGTCCCGTTCTATATATAAGTCAAGAAGCGCAGCTTTCGGCACTCCAGTGCGTTGTTACTAGGTAGTAGCCTTGTGTCTAAACCTAATAATGAGAAATGTTGTTGTTCGACATAAACGTTGTCCTGGTACAAAGTCAAGAACAAATATTCGAATATCATAAATAATTACACATGTTCATGTCCAGCACCTTCTGAAAAACACAAAAGGCACCCTTCAAAAACCCTAAAGTTTACGCTTCTTACTTTGTTCCAACATGACACTTGCGGTCTACAGCGGATCGGATTGTCACATCCATTTTGCCTGGCAGGTACAGCACGGTCAGATTTCCACACCCGTTTAAATTTATAATACTTATAAGGCTTTCAGGTGTGGAAATCTGACCGCAACTTAGGTGTCGACATGTTGCACGTAGGATTCTAAGGGGAAAGGGTTTGTCCCGTTTTATAAGTCAAGAAGCGCAACTTTAGCCACCCCAGTGTATATACGGATGTAGATATGTGATGTGTCATTTGTGAGTGTTTTGGTGCGAGCTTCATCAACATCCTTGGGAACTGCCGGGATGTGCGTTTCTGCGCGAAGTGATACGCGAAGCTATGTGCGGTCGTGCAGTGCTGTGGTTGCCGGTCTCGTCGCATGGATCCCCTCAGGCCCCTCAGGCGACGATCTTCATTGTGCAGCCAGCATACCTGAAAGCACCTCGGCGCGAAGACCTCCCGACAAGATCAAGAAAGACTTAAAGACTGACACAGCAAGGAATGGTCATGAATGGTCACAGGTCCTGACCTGCCAGCAAAGTGCAGGAGCCGTGTTCGTTTGTCAGAGAAAGGTTGGGCGAGAAAGTTGAGATGTTACCCAGTACTGGTACCCCCAAAACACCCTAGCATGTTGAGCTTCAATTGTTTGTGTCAGCAAGCCGTCAGTCGCCTTTGATGACATGTGTTAGCTTACCCTTTGCAGATTGTGTGGATGATATGAGGCTGCCTTCCCTGGTTCCATGTTTGGTTCCCCCATGCATAGCCATGGCCAATTCTTGCAATTGAATGGTCCTGTTATAGTCCCTGCTTTACAATTCCCATAGCCGGAAATTGATTTTGACTAGTTCTCAGCACAGTTCAACTCAATCAGATTCATCCACTATGAGTAAAATACCCGCACTGACCCGCTATATGCCAAGCTGGGTCCAGAAGAAGGCTGTCAGACTGACAATCTGTCACTGTCCAAACTGTTCCAAAGGAACAACTTCACGTTTGTATTTGTGGTTTGTATGATGCGTGGACTAGCAGAAAATTTAGAAAACACCTAAAGCACATGAACTCAAGCTCAATGCATCGTACGCAAACCTTGGTGGAGAGATAAGAAAAACCCTCTCCTTGCAAGCACACTGCCAGCTCGAACAAGAATTTGAGATGTTCCGTGAATACGCACTTCAAGAGAGCAGATCAAGTCAATGGCAAGTATGGATCACTTATGCAATTGCGGCATGGTGCTCCTATTTAAATTCGGCAACAGTAGCACCATTGAAAACAATACAGCTCCACGAATTCACTGCTTTTTTTGGAAGGTCGAGGATTTTTCCACTGCCTTAGTATGCCTATGCATTGGTTGATTGTTGCGCAAGTGCTGACATGTGCTGACTTGCTTTTTTTAACCTATCGACTTCTTTAGGTTACTGTAGTTTGTCCTTGAAAGATTGCTCGTTGGTGACTTGCTTTGGGCTTGTGCGGAGATGACAGTGCCACTGACAAGTTGCAGCTGAAAGGCTGAAAGGCAACACTCAAACGCTATGGCATGCTATGGCACTTGGACCTCCGAATAAATTCTGCAAGTGACCCCTGCGGAAGTGCTGGCAGTGTCAGGATGGTCTATTGATGTTTTATTGCTATATATATATATAATATGTATATGTGTGTATATAACTTGATGTAAGGCGGTGGTAACGGTGACATATGAGATAGCTTAAGTCAACCACATTTGAGCTGGAGTGGTTCGCGGAGGGCAACAACATCCGAGAAAGCGACGTTCGTCGACCTGTCGATCGAGTCTTAGGTCGGGCCGTGGAGCTGATTTTACACGAGAAGGAGGGTCGGCACAGGAGACCAAAGCGCGACTCCAGCACGGAAGACTTGGGTTCGTCAAGAGCCGACTATAGCCGACTACTCCCAGCCAATAACCCTAGTTGGTGGGGTTCCTTGAATCATCTTGAATCGAATCCCCAGCCAACCTCGTAGTTCTTCTTGAGAGGCACCCAAATCCAGAAGAACGGCTTGGATTTGAGTTGCATTTTGATTGAATAGAAGTCGTACCTGGACCTCAATCGGGGAGAAGTCGGGCCGTAGGGTTTGTACCTGTGCTGGACTGCAAGAAGAGGCTTTTAGGGCGGGGATTTATGAGGCTGTGTTGCATGCTGCATGCATGTGTTGCAACAAGTGAGAGGCTGTAGACACCCCAAGTCATGAAGTGTTTGCAGCCAGGGAGAATGAGATCCAGGTTCTACTCGGATAGACGGTGATGATGATGATGATGACTGATGACTGATGACTGATGACTGATGATGGTTGATGGTTGATGGTGATTGATTATGATGATGGTGATTGATTGTGATTATGGTGATTGATGATAAGTATGAGGATGAGGATGACGATGACAACGATGGTGATGATGCAAAGTGACCATCAGAGCCGTCATGTCCATGGGATGCTATGGGCGGGTGAAAGGCACAAATCAGCTGTGCTGTGGCTATCAGTTTTGGGGATAGGAAACCAGCAAGAACCCATACGTAATTACATAGGATGTATGCGTTGAAGGTGATTTTCCAGAGCACAGGCTTTTGCGCTGTTAGCCAGGTTTTGGTTACCTTCCCTAAGTCCAGCGCCCCCCCGGGAAGCAACGTTCACAAGAAGTAAAGCTTTTGAGGACGGTGCTCCAACCACCCCGTCGTTTCGCAATGCGCAACAGAAGCTCTCGCCACGGCACTTGACTCGCAACATGAGTTTCAACTCGAAAAGCCAAGTCCCTCCACCTCTTCGCTCGTGCCGAGACCATCCGAGACCGCCCATGCCGAGACTGCTTTTGAGGACCTCGAGCTCTGTAGTTGATCGCATCTCGCAGATGAGCGCCGAGTCCGGGACCGCCTGTACTCAGGCCTTGTCTGAGGCCCCCGACTTACCGGAGACGTCGGTGGTGACCGACTCGAATACATGCAGTCCCGATGTTTCGAAAAAGGGTATAAAAGTGTTTCTTGGTCCAGCAGGTTTGTAGAGACATAATAGACGTGATGTATAGAGAATTCATGGTAGAAAATAGTTTGGAAATCGTGGA